CCACTTGCAGAAGGGATCATTCACCACTCTACATCCACAAAAGCACTCCTTTTTTGTGAAAAGGAAGATAATTTTTTGAGAGTGGTTCACAATTACTGCATTCTGAATACTATACATGCTTGATATTTTGGTCTTTGACCACAAATCGACTTAACTAAGTGTGTGTTGGTGAAGTGGTGGGTCTCTTCAGACAGAAGCTTTCAGCTGGTGGTTTACAAAATAGACCTACTTATCAGAGATCTCTGTCCTTGAATGCCTGCTTATACCTGCTTATAATTCTTGCATTTACCAAGAGAAACTTGACACTGTGAAGAGTGTCTTTCTGTCCAATTTGTAACATGGAAGTAAGAGCTTGCTATGAAAGCAGAAACATAAAAGTAAGTTGAATATGATTGGAATTGGTTAATTAAAAAGTTGTAAGTAAAATAAAACGAACGAATGAATGAATGAATACAAGTGAGTGACCAATATGAAAGAAGTATGTTGAAATAGCTTGGTCATATAGAGAGAATAAATGAGATTGAATTGCAAAAGATTGATATGAAAGAAGAGTGAATATGTTGAGGGGAAGGGACATGATTGAAAGGAGTTAAGGAGATAAGGTCAAAAAACAAAAATCTGTATGAATCAGTTTGTGGATATGGTGTAAAGAGGGATGGTTCGCAAGGATAGAAGGTGTGGAGAGTCAGTGAATGTTAATGATGTAAACTTTATTTAGTTGGGTTTCCATTTTTTCTCTTGGCTTTTATTTCTTGTACATGCTATTTCTCATTCTTTTTCTGTTTTTTGCATAATGTTTTTAAAGGTTGAAGCTGGCAATGTGGGGACCAGCAGTTCTGTGGTCACATTGTATACATGTTGAAGAGATGTCTCTGACTCTTCAACCTAAGAAAAGAATGGCCAAAAGTCTGTGGACTCAAAAAGAAAGGAAAAGACCTAGAATTTAAATCATGGAGTGTATGTAACATATAGGGCTTGTTATAGGCAGATATTTCAGGTCCTATGCTCTGAAGTAGGCAGATATGACTTCTTTCTTGTTTGCAATAAAGCAGCTATCCAGCCATGTCATGCCTGTGAAGCTTCTGCTGTAAAGAAGTTTCTTAATATGGGTTGAGTGACTGGAGTGTCAAGATTTATTGTGGTGTGTTTTGTATGAAGTCTTTCACGTACTCTGAAAGGGAATAGCTTCATGGGCATACAATAGCTTCACAGATGCATAAGGGAAAATATCTGAGAGGACATGGGAACCCAAAGTCCACAAACACTTATCTGGTCCATTCTTGTTATTCTTTTTAAAAAGGGAAAGAAGACAGCATTGTAATTTATCACTTTCACTTTTATTGGTAATGTATTTCATTCTCATTGTTACCAGCCGAAATCAATCCACTGCAGGATGAACTTCAGCTGTTTTCCAACTGCATTGACATGCCACAGGTTGTGTACAGTTAACACTTTTGAACTGAGTTACATCATCTGTCCAGCATTTCTTTGGGCATTTCCTGCATCTTTTAATATCAGTTGGTATCCAGTTGAGGATTGTTGTTCTCTAGCATAGATCTGTGTTGTACAGAACAGCCAGGCCTTTGCAATTTCAGGGAGGTTACCCACTTCATTATGTCACATACTCCTGTCTGTTGGCCAATCCATATATTTCTTGTCACATCATGTTTGGGTTAAGTGTTTGCTCTTCTGTGCTGTTCTGTGTAACTTTCAACTTCTGTACTGCTTTTGAGTTTAACATCCCAGTTTTATAACTTGGCAGCAGAAGTAGTACCCGCTGATTAAACAATTTCCTCTTTAAGCCAGTTGGTATGCTGCTTTTGAATACAGCACAAAATTGTCCAAATGGTCTCTAACCTAGTTTAATCTGGTTGAGATTTTCTTTTATGATATTATCCTCCATAGTAATCTTTTGACTGAGGCAAATGTAGTTGTTGACCTTTTCCAGTTCATTTTTTCCAATTTTTACTGGCAGAGTTGGTGTTGGTGTTGACTCTTAATGATCACACAGATAAATTTTCTCCAAGATGATCTGTCCCTAACCTAGTTTTTCAGGTCTTCCATTGCCACTGTAACTGACTCCATCTACCTTGCTGCTGGTCATCCTCTTCTTCCCAGCATTAGAGCCTTCTCCAGAGAGCTGGATGTTTGCACAAGGTGTCCAAAGTATGAGAGAGAGAGGGAGAGGGAGGGAGGGGTACATATATGGTCTCAGGTTGTGTATCACTGAAATGTGTGAATTCATGTTTATAGCTCTTCAAACAAATGTGAGTGCAGCCATTCACAGTTCCAACTTTTGTTCACTGTTTTTGGTACCCATAATATCTGAACATTCAAGTAAATAAAGTAGCATCTCTACATGTATAGTGATTCTTTTCATGTAGTCAAGTGAATATACATTGTGAACAGAAAGTTTTGTCAATTTTACCATGGCAAGATATTACAGTTTCATTTCTACTTCATGCATTTTGATCAGAAGATGTGTTAAGGCTCAGTCTAAATTTTTTTGTGGTTTTCTGGGTATTCCATCATGAATCAGTTCTGTTAAATTTCTATATCATTGTGAGGGTTTAAAAAATCAGAAGGAAAGACTTGGTCATTTTTGCACACAATTTTGCTTAACATATATAAGTCAGTTTGCTTAAAAATACAGACCAAATAAAATTCTGCTAAAGAACAGTTGCTTTTGTTAAAAAAAAATTGAACTCCATTAAAAAACTAGATGTTTGAAGCCTTTATTTTAGCCAGTATTTCTCTAAAAGGGAAACCTAAAGAGGACTATAAATCAATTGTAGTATTTGTCAGTGGATTTATTTCAAAACAGCATCAAATCTACACAGAGTTCAATTTTCTTTCCAGTTTAGACAAGTGCACATTTTTTACATTATTATATCTCTTAGATGAAACCCAAAAGTTAAGCATGTTTGTGTGCACAAATATATAAATTTTGCTTTCTTTTGAGCAAAGAAAAAAGTACAGATTTAAGAAGAAAGAAGGCTATTCAAAACAAATCAAAATGAAATATCTACTTGCTTGTCAAAGATCTGTTTTTATTACTGGAACCTTCAATAACTCAATGCCCTCCCCAATATGTTGGATTTCAACTTCCACAATACTCTTGCAACATAGCCAAAAATTATGGAAGCTGAAGTCCAACCCATTAGAAAAACAACAACTTGAGGATGTCTTATTTACTGAATGGTGTTTTTCTTATATGATAGTTCTTCAAAGAAGAAACCTGGGTAGATAGGGGTAAAGAGAAAGTAGAATAAAAATTATGCTAAAACATCAAAACCAGACAGAGAAGGAAAAAAAGATAATTAAGTTCTGGAACATTGTCTTTTTCATAAATTGGTTTTTCTTTCTCTAATATATGACTTTTTTCATGCAAAAATTAGTTCTGTTACATTTTTTGTAATATTGTACATTTTGTATATAGCCCTCACTAAAATTGCAGTGTAGATGCAGCGGTTCCAAAATGAGGAGTTATTGTACTTTGTAATATTGTATTGTATTTGGGTTAAATGTTAGTTTACAAAATGAGAATTAATTTGATTCTCATTGAAATAAACAAATAGTTAAATGTGATAGGCTGGGATGAAAGAGAATAATATTCAGTTTTCTATTCAGTAATGTAGAACAACAGACCAGTGCTGTTTGTGGTACAGTATTAACTATCATTATTTCAAAATAGAGGCCATATTTGTTGATAGTCTCTGAGTAATAAACCAATGAAGAAAAAAATCTCAGATATTACTTCCTTTAAGGTGTTTTTAACTTCAGGCAAGCATTCTTCCTTTGTAAGCAGTTTTTGGCACCTTAATTTGTTTTCAGCAATAATCCTGTCAGTTGAGTATAAGAATTGTAGATCACGCTATAAAACCTTGGCTGAGCAACCAACTGTCTGAACGTGAACTATATATGAACAGATTCACATATTAGCAGGATCTTGGGGTCTGTGTCTCTTTCTGTGTTTTGCCCGATTTTCTGCTTCCTGTACAAAGAATTCTCTCCTATATATATATAATACATTTCTCATGTTCCAAAAAGCAGCTGTAATTCAGCTCTTGCTGTTTATTTCATTTAAGTTCAGACTACAATGAACAAACATAGCCCTGACTTAGTCTGCTTTTTAACATAGCTTCTGGAATTACTATACAGGTAGTCCCCAGTTTAAGAATGAATTTTGTTCCAAGGTCTGTCCATAAGTCAAATTTGTACATAAGCCAGAACAGTATTATTATTTAATACTGTATAGATCCTGCTAATATGCAAATCTGTTCATAAGTAGTACTGTGTACTTAACTCAAACCATTGTGTATTTGACTCAAACCATTGTGTATTTAACTCAAATTTTGCTACAATAAGCTCTGTTCTTAACTATGAGCTGTCCTTAAACTGGGCGTTCTTACTCCGGGGACTATCTATGCAAGAGAAGTTGTTTTAGGAACAGCCAATCAGAAACTGAGAAGAAGATGCCAGTTCCTTCAGATGGCAGATTCAAGGAAACAATTCAAGGTCCCCTCCCCCACTTTGTATTATGCATTACTAAACATCAGTAAATAAATAGGGGAAGAACTGAAAATTTTACCATAAGGCTGCAATCCTGTTCTGTTATCTGGGAATAAGGTTTATTTTGGCTGCCAGATTTTTTTTTTCCAAGCAAGCATGAGTTGATGGTGGGGTGCTTTATTTATTTACAGTATATATTTTCTTGCTTGTTTGCTGTTTATCTGGGCAGCTAAAACCAAATCTATGTTAAACTGTACTAGAAGGTCTTCAATTGTGCCCTCGGTATTTACACTGGGGGAGGGGATGTTTTGCTCAGGCAGGGTGCTTTGTTATCAGCTCGATTGCTAGTGCTACAACTGAGCAAGCCATCACTTAATTTACTGAACTACAAAGCTTTGTCTGACATATTTGAACTGTTCTCTGTACTAATCATGATGCTGCTTCTACTAATATGCTACCAATATTTTGGTTTGTTTCTTTGATATTAGGGACCACAAGGGCCCCAGGGACCGGTTGGATTTCCAGGACCAAAGGGACCTCCTGTAAGTATCTGTCTTAAAATAAATATAGAATGAAAAACATAATGAAATAAATACTGATTATTAGGCATTGTTTATCAATGTATT